GCCTTGTATCTCATGGTGAAAATTCGCGAAGAAGCGACATTTCACCGTAGCTGATCGTGTTCCTTTACATGTCACTGATATTCCATAGATCATTTCTCAAAGTCCACATATTAAGGTAGGAACACAGCGATTTTCAGCTATTTTGAAGACGATCAACAGCGTCCTTTTTGGTACTAGAAATCGTACAATTTGAAAACACTAACTTGACGCTGGAATGGCTGGCGAAGACGTGTGTTTCACGCGAATACTTGGCCTGATCTTCCATTTTATTATCCATGTTTGGTACCAAAATAAACCTTAGAAACATGGCTTTCAGACTGGGACTGCTTTAATTTTGGAGGTTTTTACTGGCGCCTTGAGCGCATTGGTAAATAGCGCAGATAGCGGGAAATACGAACGAAAGATAGGCCAATCAAGTCTAGTGTAAACAATGTCAGACCTTTTAAATTCCTTAGAAATTATACTTATAAACAAAAGATCACAATATCAACTGATGATCATTGTTTAAAATACCTGAGGGAAACGTGTGTTCCAGCAAATAATATTATTTACACTATGAACATTCCAAACGAGCACTTCACAAGCCACTAATGAACTCAAGGATTAGGGCGTGCTATCCCAATACTCGTTTGTTGATGTTTTAAACGTTTCGATTTTAGCCCAGTATTGTATTAAGATAAAGTATCGTTGCACAAGAGTAGAAAATTTGATCTTCAAAATTTCAAACCTCAAGGGAACTTGTAAAAAGCTCTATTTTGGTGGGAAAACCCGCTGACTCGTCCCGGGCTCAAATGTCCGGAATTTCTAGCCATGGGAGGGAAAATTCATAAAAGTTCTGGAAATCGCTCCAGAGATTACCAGTAGCTATATTAATGTACACAATAAGTTATAGCGAAATTTATTGTATATACCTATTTCAAAAAAGGTTGTCGGATACAATGGCGAATTTCAATGGTCGAACGGCAATTGCACGACCGAAAGTAGCCATGGGTTTTGCTAGTTGATGAGAAATAACAACTGATTTATACTGTAAGATCCGTGGTTAAAGTCTGTGGTTTAACATTGACTCCATTTAGTCTCCATTTCTATGAAAGATGTATCCAATAAGTTTTGTTTGACAAAACAGTGTAACCATAGTCCCTTTCGGCCGTGCAATCTCCCTTCAACAATCGTCTTTCGCCGTTTTCCCCGACAACGTTTTTTGAAATAGGTGTATTTATGTCATAAATCATCTGTTTACATNTATATAAGCTGCAGTGGTAAAAAGAAAACGTTTCTAGAAAGTAGTTACCTTATTGCAAATTCAAGCGAGTAGAAATCGGGAGTTAAAATATAATCTTGATGAAATTCTTTGTCGATGAACGCTCACAGGACAGGAATGAAATTGCTATCTATGAAACACAATATAAAATGAAATCACTCGACAGGACTCCAACAAACATAGAACAGACACTGGATAGTAAACAAACTACTTGAGAAATCGTTATTAACGGCCCAACTTCTAATTAAAAATGAATGTGATATTTGTATCATTCGCAAACCGAATTCAAAGATAAAAAAACATCCTGAAACAATAACATTTGAAAGTGATATTTGATATTTGAAAATATCTTCAYTAGCGATCAAAAGAATTACTTCGTAATATAAAACCGTGCAATAGTCACGGCTGTATGCATAAAGTGAGGGATATACCGTATTCATATTAATATCCAGGGGGGGTTCCATGGTTTCCTAGGAACCCCCCTCAAGCATAAGAAAAATAAAAAATAAAATAAATGATAAATGAAATAAACTGAAAGCACATCGTACAATGAATCTTTATTAAATACATTCACACTACATTTGCTACAATTCGAGGGGCACAGTTAAAAAGTTCGTTTTAGAAAAATGAGAAAAACAAAGTGGAAACCCCCTTTGAAAAATCCTGAGTCCGCCACTGGACACTACTAAATTTGTGTTTCGCACCACGTTGCGTCGAATACCCGTATACATGTAATCTGCTACAGCYTCTGCAGTTTCTCGTTTCGGCATGGGGGTGGTGCTGCATAGAAAACTAGCACCTGTGTACAAAAGTTACAAAGAGGACAAGCCAACGGGTTGGTACATAACTTGAATGGTCAACAACGGAAATTGATTACGCAATGACCATCGCGTATGAGAAAAATAGACGGGAATCTCATTTCCAAGGAGGCTCTATTTTTAACTTTTCGAGTATACTTCAAAGGCTAAAAAAACGTTTTGAAAATTATGCAGTGTTATAATATAAGGGAAGCATTTAATCATTAAAGAACCTGGGAAGCCGCACTGGAATTTTTGTGAATACCAAGGTGGAACTTTCTTGCTATTTTGCAAAGGCAAGATCTTGCTGGAAAACAACATTTGCTGGTTTTGAAGCCGCACTGGGATTTTTTATTTGATATTTATTGATTTTTCTGTGCAAGCAAAAGTTTGACGCGGAACCCCGATGGTGGGAAAAGCATTGTGCAGATATGGACAAACCATCATTTGAGTAAATGAAGGATTTTCTCTCGAAGCATGGTTATGTATTGGAATCTTCAGAAAGGAAATCAGCGAAAAGGCCTACAGCAGTAGTAGGCACTGCATGATTCGACCCCCGAAAATAGGTGGTAGGTGGTAGGTGGGTATGCTAATGAGGCAAAAGTGATAGGGGAGGGGTGGTCAAAACGAGTAGGTGGTATAAATTATATTAGTAGGTGGGTATGCTAATGAAGTCAAAAGTGATAGGGGAGGGGTGGTCAAAACGAGTAGGTGGCAATTCATTAACATAAAATTGTGGGCGACTTTTGTGTTGGTAAATTGTG